GGCCAACAACGGCAACCCTCTCGGGTCCTCTTCCACCCTTCCATGCTGTGGAAGCTTTTACTTTCGTTTGCTCAATAAACTGCATCGCTGCTCACTCTCTGTCTGCAAACTCTTGTTTGGAGCTGGAACACTCACCATGGGGGTCAGGATCTCTGCTCGATTCTTCGAGCAAGGGAAGCCAAGAACCTGAGTCTGGAGCCCAAGCTGGGCCCTCCTCAGGGCCATCCATGAACCCTACAACAGCAGATCTGGTTACATTAGGTCTGGATTTTTTAAATGCGTTTTCTTACACTAATGATATTACCAAATAATAATTACTACATCTGCAGATAGACACTCTTATAAAAATAAGCATGTTCCACTACCTTATAAAAAAATAAGCAAAAGAATTTAGACTAGTTTTCCAGCTCCAAATATAGAGCTCTTTTGAGGGTAAATGCTATCTCGTAGTAAGATACGTGGGTTTAAAGACATTTCCTTTTATCAAAATAGCTTCTAATCCAAGGAAACCCCAGTTTTTGTTCAAGATGTACTTGCTGGGACTATTAAAAATAAATAATAAAAATAAAGAGGATTCAATGCCACAGCATTACTAGAGAACTTCTCTCTGAGAGGGAATCTTGGTAGGTCTGTCATTCAGCAGTACTGTTCCCCAGTCTGAATGAGCCTTTCATTCTCCCTGCTACTGCAGAGGTTGGTTGCTAAAAACTCACAGCTGCATAACTCTGTAGGAATAAACCACTGCTGAGAAGAAAGGGATTACTTAAAAGTTATGTTCCTCCCTAGCAAAAACCTGCATTCGAAAGCTGGTCAATGTTTAGGGTGGGACTTAATTAATTAACACGCTGATCATCATATTGAGATTGTGTCAATATACTGTCTCATAATACTGAGATTGTGTCAACTGCCCAGAGCGTAGCCATGAACTTAGCTTGAGCCTAGACTGGCCGACTGCAAAGCGTTTGTCTAAGAGGTCCCAACTTGCATACAACGAGCTTTTAGGAAGACCATGGAGTTGTTATAAGTACATGTGACAACTTTGTGTTTTCAATTTTGTATTTTTTTTTAGATTGAATAAATACTGGGTCTTATATCATGGGCATGAAGTATCATGTAACAATAAACATTCAGATTGTCAAGATTTTTAACAAACAAAATCATATTTGAATCTTCTCCATCTTTTGCCATTATGTATTTAATATTATAAGATGGTTACCAAAATGGCTTTAAAGTTCCCCTCAATTTGAGTAAACTTCAGAGATTTTCTTCTGACTCTAAGCTCCTGACCATTTTTATTTTTAGAGCAGTTATGTTAAAAAACTTGCAATTATAAATTCTTTCTCTACTCCTTTGAGATGCAGATTTTCTCCCAGCTTCTTGGCAGTTTCAAAGCCCAGAAATGTTTTTCTCAAGGACCTAGGAATCAACCTTTTGAAATGCAATTATTGAGACAGATAGCCCCCTTATCTTCCAGTCTTTGCAGGAAGGTAGGAACCTAAATTTCATAAGTACCAATTAGCCACTAGTCCCTCTAACAGTTCATTAGGTGGACTAATCACATTAACTAAGCTCCCACACAACACATCTTCCAGGACTTTTCAACAAATTCTCCACAGCACTTAAAAACTTTCTCCTCTTTTGTTTCAGAAAAGTTATTTCAATCTCTCTCTCTGTTATTGCTAGTTTTAAGTGGTCTTCCTTGCCTATTTAAGTCCATTTGGTACACTTTTACTTTAACAATTTGTGAATTACATCTCAATATAACCGTTATTAAAATATTTTCAAATATTATAAGCAAAGCTATAAAAGCTATAAATTATGTTTGATTTTTATATAGATACATATATTATCTCTGAAAAAGTCTTATGCTAAAATATATTAAAGCCTACTACAAGATTCTGTCAGATGCTAACATTTATTGAAAACTTGCTTGAGTTCTATACTAGATTAATTAAGAAGACAGAAAAAGACATTAATAAATATAAACATAATTATAAAATTAACACCACCAGAAAATTATATTTGGAATACTATAACAGAACATGGAATTAGGAGAATACTGTAATTTAAAAAAAATTTAATGCAGTCAGGTACAGTGTCTCATGCCTATAATCCCAGAATTTTGGGAGGCCAAGGTGGGCAGATCACAAGGTCAGGAGTTTAATACCAGCCTGACCAACATGGTGAAACCCTGTCAGTACTAAAAATACCAAAATTAGCCAGCCATGGTGGCAAGCAACTTTAATCCCAGCTACTCAGGAAGCTGAGGCAAGAGAATACCTTGAACTCAGGAGGTGGAGGTTACAGTGAGCCAAGATTTCTCCACCACATTCCAGCTGGGGAGACTGGGGAGACAGAGTGAGGCTCCGTGTCAAAAAAAAAAAAAAAAATTAAATTAAATGCATGTAAAATATTGGAATACTAATAGCACTCATGAGGTAGAGGTCACAAAACTAGTCAATATGAGGATTAGTAATAGAATATTTTCTGACAAAGGGCTAATATCCAGAATCTTCAAGGAACTTAAACAAATTTACAAGAAAAATAAAGAACCCCCATCAAAAAGTGGGTAAATGATATGAACATACGCTTCTCAAAAGGAGACATTTATGCTGTCAACAAACACATGAAAAAAATTCATCATCACTGAGATTAGAGAAATGCAAATAAAAACCACAATGAGATACCATCTCACACCAGTTAAAATGGTGATCATTCAGGAGACAGCAGATGCTGGAGAGGTTGTGGAGAAATAGGAATGCTTTACACTGTTGGTGGGAGGGTAAATTAGTTCATCCATTGTGGAAGACAGTGTGGCGATTCCTCAAGGATCTAGAACTAAAAATACTATTTGACCCAGCAATCCCTTTACTGGGGATATACCCAAAGGATTATAAATCAGTCTATTATAAAGACACATGCACATATATGTTTATTGCAGCACTATTCACAGTAGCAAAGACTTGGAACCAACCCAAATATCCATCGATGATAGACTGGATAAATAAAATGGCACATAAACACCATGGAATACTATGCAGCCATGAAAAGGATGAGTTCATGTCCTTTGCAGGGACATGGATGAAGCTGGAAACCATCATTGTCAGCTAACTGACACAAGAACAGAAAACCAAACACTGCAAGTTCTCACTGATAAGTGGGTGTTGAAGAATGAGAACACATGGACACAGAGAGGGAAAGATCACACAGTGTGGCCTGTCAGGGGATGGGGAGCTAAGGGAGGCATAGCAGGGGAGTAGAGGGTAGGGAGGGATAGAATTAGGAGATATACCTAATGTAGACGACAGGGTGATGGATGCAGCAAACCACCATGGCATGTATATACGTATGTAACAAACCTGCATGTTCTGCACAATATTATACCCAGAACTTAAAGTATAATAATAATAAAAAGGAAAATTTTCTAAAAGAGAAAAGTTTTATTAATAATTTGAGAATTTGTAAGAAGAAAATTTCTAGGTTTCTTTGTTCTTGTAGATTCTAACATCGAAATTCCCATCTTACTATTCTCCTAGCTGTTCTGTCTCATGTCCACTCACCAGTCTCCCACCCCATGCCCACCAACCAAATTAGTTATTTAATGGACTCTCAATCTTAGTCCCAATCCACAGTTTTCCTGGGTAGACTGCCAATCCTTCCAGGTGACAGCTCACTCAGCGTAAAGTAACTCATGTTATGTTATCTCTCTGTGCTTTGAAGGGTAATCTGATTCATCAAGGCAAAATGGGAACTATGCAGGGATATTAGGGACTTCATAAGATCAGTGGGTGCCTCACTCTGTAAAAAATATAATATTCTTATACAAAGACTTAGGAAATCTTCTGTCAACACTAAAGTAGGCATTGGCTAAGGCAGTGCTAATCAAAATATGCATAATTTTCTAAAAGGAAAGCATTCTTACCCGTACGTCCAGCTCATAAAAAATCCACTGACCAAAACTTGATGATATCAGAAAGTATTCTTGAGGGAGTATAAACATTAATTATTATTATTAATATTATTTTGAGATAAGGTCTTGCTGTGTCGCCCAGACTGAAGTGCAGTGACATGATCTTGACTTACTACAACCTTCACTTCCCGGGTCCAAGCGATTCTCTTGCCTCAGCCTCTGAGTGGCTGGGATTACAGGTGCATGCCACCATGCCCAGCTATTTTTTGTATTTTTAGTACAAACGGGATTTCACCATGTTGGCCAGGGCAGTCTCAAACTACTGACCTCAGGTGATCCACCCGCCTCGGCCTCCCAAAGTGCTGGGATTACAAGAATGAGCCGCAGCTCCTGCCCTGTATTCATTAACATTCTTAAATGTAGATCGTAGAGTAAAACTTAGAATCATTTAGTTTAACACTTTTATATAAAGTGAAGACACTGATAACGTAACCCTGAGCAAGTCAATTTTCCACTTTTGCAGCAGTTTCATTATCTGTGAATAGAGGGATAACGCCTATTTTACATATTTTATTACAACCAAATATATGTATGGGATTAATTCTGATTAATATGACATCTCTGACCGGAACCATGGGATTGAGGAACACGATTACAGCAGTGTTCCTTAGTACCTTAGGCACGTGAGATGCTGCTTTGGAATGTTGCTGTTTTCCTCAAATTTTTGTTTGTCTAATGTATAGAAAATTATAAAGTAGATTCAGTATTTATAAGTGATGAGAAGAAAATGGTAGATTAAGAAGTAGGAATTAAAGGTTCTCTGATCTGGAAACCATAATTCTCAGCAAACTGATACAGAATAGAAAATCAAACACCACATGTTCTCACTCATAGGTGGGTGTTAAACAATGAGAACACATGGGCATAGGGAGGGGAGCAACACACACTGGGGTCCGTTAGTGGGGGGCCAAGGGAGGGACAGTGGGAGGTGGGGTGGGGAGGTTGGGGAGGGATAACATGGGGAGAAATGCCAGATGTATGTGACGGGTGGACGGAGGCAGCAAACCACATTGCCATGTGTGTACCTATGCAACAATCCTTCATGATCTGTACATGTACCCCAGAACCTAAAGTACAATTAAAAAAAAGTCTGTATTCTAAGAGGATAAGATAATAACAGGACCCTGCATAAGAAAAAGGGTCCGTGGCAAGGTCATTGTTATCAGTGCAGACTCACCTAAGGTGGGCTTTAGGGGACTCATCAGACACATCTTCCTTGTCATAGAAATTGTAGCAAGCCCAAGGGAAAGTCAGAAAAAGAATGTATATTTTTATTGTAATCAAGGTTTTCTTTGCTGCACAGAAATTAGATCTTTTGAGAATCGCCAAAATCCTTAAAGTGTATCTTAACCATGAGCACAAAGACTACATTAAATGTACAACATCTATAAAAAAATTTTCCACAGTAAGTTACTCCATCCTTCATGATTAATTTGAATAAAATTTATACTCATTATACTCAGAAAAATAATCATCAAAATGGAGATATGTATTTTTGTTCTAATTTTCTCACCTCTACCACTTCTCACCACCTAAATCTGATTCAAAGTAGCATGCCTTATCAAAAGGTCTGAATATTATATTAAGACAGATAAAAACTTACAAAGGCAAGAAATAAATACCATAGCCCAGCAGTTTTCTTAAATCTTTGGGAATCACTAAGGGTTCCCAACCGTACTTATACCTTCTCTCGTTTGAGGGGATTTTTTGTTTTGTTTTTTGACAGAATGTATTGGAAGTAGAATATGTCCACCATCTAATAAAAACCATTTTGTCTCAATTGTGTTTATGTTCTTTCTTTCTGTCTAAGCCCAGATCCCTGGCTTTTTTCCTGGCAGAAAAAAAGAAAGACAGTATAAACAATACACTCTCCTCATTCTATCAATTGCATTTCAGTAATTAATTTAAGTTGTGAATGTTTTGCAACTGTTATCAGTGCCATTGCCTTCACAATTATGAAATTAGGCAGCAGCAGTCAACTAATTATCTGAGTTCCAAGTCGTGATTCTAGTAGCTAGTTTTGATTTCCTTTATTTAAAGAGTTCTTCCTGCTCCCATATTTAAGGCTTAAAATTAATTATTCACATCGGATAAAGAAAAATGAGATAAACACTCCGTATATCATTGAATGTTACTGTAGTTTGAAAGCCTTTTATTGCTTTTGAATTATTACCATTTTGCACTTTGAAGCAAAAACAGGGTATGAGAGTGATTATAGCAGAATTTTATTCCATTTTGAAAAAATGTGAGCATAATGCTGTTAAAACCAATAGGTATGCTACACATATGTAAAGGCTATCTGGAGCATAACTAATAGAAATAATTTTGAGTGTGCTTTTGCAAATTGTCTCAAAGTCTTGTGAACTTTTGAGGCTACCACAATTCCCTTTCCCAATTTGTTTACTGTAAAATGATTAGAAATTCCACATGAAAACCTTGTTCTAATCTTAGTTTTTATGCTGAAAACCCAACTGGTAGAAAATAGGAAGCAAGATATTCTACTTTTCTGTGCATACACACATACTCGAGTACATACACACACATGTTTATCATATGTTAAAAATCATCTCATAATTACAATCATCCCTCAGTCTGCAGGGGATTGCTTCTAGAAGCCCCCATGAATACCACAAATCTGCATGTGTGCAAGTCCCTTAGATCATATTTTCATATAAACAATGCACAAAATCCCATATACTTTAAATCATCCCTAGATTACAGATAATCATCCCTAGATTACAGCCTAATATGCTGTAAATGCTATGTGAATAGTTATTATACTATTATAGAGTTGTTATAACCATTGTCTTTAATTTGTATATTCTAATGACTGTATTGTTATTTTTATTGTTTGGTTTCTGAATATTCATTATTAAAGTTTCGTTGAATGTTTGAATGTAGAACATGTGGATACAGAGAGCTGACAGTATTTTTTTAAATAGGTAAAAAGTATATTTCTGGATATTTATGCAACAATGGCTGGGTTAAAAAGAACAGAACATTTAAAAATGCAATTCCAAGGCAATTTTATCCAATATTTAGAAATAAGATAGATACGATTTTTAAAATAAGTTTTAAACACATTTATACTAAAATTCTCTAGTTATTTTCAGTTTTGACTCCCAAATTAGTAAGTTGATGTCCCCAACTTGAATAGCCTTTTGAAGGCTGAATGCAAATAATCTGCAATGCTCGAGATTAAAGTAAATTCAAAGTTTGGACTCTGAATTCAAATAGGATACAGAATGTTGTAAGAGATCATCACTCTTACCTTAATAATAGGAAGGTTCATTGATCAAATTATAAAGTTCATAAGTATGTTTTAAACCAGAAGACACCTGAAAAAAAAAAAAGAAAGAAACATAAATGAAAGGGTAGATACTGTTGTCAACATATGTTTTCATTGCTCTTGGGTGTATGCCCAGGAATGGAATTTGTTAGTTATACAGAAAATATATGTTTAATTTTTTAAAGGAATTTTTAAATTATTTTTCTTTGACATAAAATAATTATATATATTTATGAGATACGGAGTGATATTTTGATACATATCAATCTGGCTTAAATACATAGAACACTATAATCAGCAACTGCAAAATACACCATGTTCAAATAATCATAGAACACTTATCAAGATAGGTCATATTTATAGAGAGCCATAAAACCAGTCTCAATAATTTTCAAAGTACTGAAATTCTAGAGAGCATATTGTCTGATAAAAATAGTATTAAAACAAAAACGAATAACAAAATGACATTAGGAAAAAACCCCTATTGGAAATTAGGCAACAAAATTCTAAATCTATGGATAAAATAGGATTCATGTGAGTAATAAAAAATAAAAAACACACATATATTTTTGACCTAAATTAAATTTCAAGCACAATATACAAGATATACGGGATACAGATAGCACAGTGCTTAGAATGAAATTAATAGCTTTATACTTCGTGATGGGCTAGAATAATGGCTGCTTATAAATAGACATGTCCTAAGCCCTGAGAGTTGTAAATATGTCACTTTACATAACAAAAGACACTTTTGCAGGAGAGAAGCAAGGACATAGTAAGGGATAAAATGTAACTACAGAAGCAGAGGTTGGAATAAAGTCAATGCTGGCTGTGACTCAAAAGCCCTGGAAAGTCAGTGGCCTCTAAGGGTCTGGAAAAGGAAAAGAAACAGATTTCCTCATAGAGCTTTCAGAAGGAAATGCAACCTTCCAGGTATCCTGCTTTAGAACAGTGAAAGGATGCGACCTTCAGTTTTTCCTATCGTTTCCTCTGGAATTATAGGATAATAAATTTATATTGCTTCAAGTCGCTCAATTAATAGTAATTTTTAGAGAAGGAATAGAAAACTATCGGAACAATGAATGACGCAGAAACAATTAATCTTCTATCTAAATACATGAGGAAAAGAATGAATTAAATAAAATAATAAATATAAGAATAGAAATTAGTTATGTGTAAAATGGAAAGACCATATATATAAAAGTAAAAAATTTATTCTTTTAACAGAATAATAAAATTCCAGAAAGACCGACCCAGAGAAAAAAAAGAGAGAGAGAGAGAGAGAGAGAGAGAAAATGACCAATATTCTGAAGGCAAGAGGGAGAAGGGAGAGTCACTACAGAGCCTACGTATATAAAAAATATAGTAATAAATATATTATAAACTACTTTATACTGATATGTTAGAAAATGTACACAAGATGGACTACTTTGTAGAACACAAGTTATCAAAACCCACATGACACAATATAGATAATATTTAGAGCCCTATATCGATTAAATTTAATTTGTAATGAAAACCTGACAACACCCAAAAGTTTTATTGATGAATTACATAAAATATTTAAGCATAAAATAATAACAATCTTGTGAAAATTTTTAAAGAAGGTAGAGGAAGATAAAACACTTTAAATTATGTAAATTAGGATTTTTACAGCCCATTATAAATATAACTGAAAATATCCTTAATTTAATGTAAGCAAAGTAAATTGAATGGACAATGAATCATGACCAAGAAGTCATGAAATGCAAGTTTGCTTTAAACTGAAAATCAATCAATATCATCCATCACATTAACAGAATAAAGAAAAAAAAGCCACCATCTTATTAGATATAGAAAATACATTTGATAAAATTCAATACCAATTGATAAATTTAAAAAAACTCCTGAGGATGTAAGAGAATTTCTCAATACATTAAATTTTATTTATGAATTTCTACAGGGAATCTCATACTTAATGATGAAACACTGCATGCTGTTTCACTGTGATCAGGATAAGGGAGGATGCTTACTTTCACCAGCTCTCTTGACAGAGCATTAATTCATGCCAAAGAAATAAATGGCATAAAGATTGAAGAAAAAAGTAAAATCTTTGTTGTTCTCTGATTAAATAACTGTGTATACAGAAAATTCTATGTTTTTTATTAAAAAATCCAATGACACAAATGAAAATTTAAAAAATTTTATTATATATTGTCAATATGCAAAAATCCTTTCAATTTATACATATTAGCAATGCTATGTGGAAATAAAATAAAATAATATCATTGACAATAGGGTCAAATTCATCAAATAACTAGAGTACCCATTTAATAAAACACGAGGAAATTTTCTATACAGATACCAAAAAAACTAGTTCTGAAATCAATTAAGATATAAAGAGAAGGATATACCTCGTGTACTGACTCAAAATCTTTAAGATTTATTTATGGTTATCATACACTACATATACACATTTTGAATCACCATATCATTTGCTTTAATATATTCAGTCTGCCAAATATATTTAAATTAAAAATCATTTCTGATTTTAAAAATTTAATTAAAATGCCAGCAGGGAGGTGTGTGTGTGTATGTGTGTATCTGTGTGTGTGTGAGAATATTGGCCTGCTTCAAGTTGATTAAAATTTATATGAAAATGCAAAGGACATAGGACAGCCAAGACACTCCAGAAAAAGAATAAAGTAGGATTTACTAGGTTTCAAAACTTACTATAAATCTACAATAAAAAAAAAAAGAGTTTGGTATTGCCCTAGAGGTAGAAAAAGATCAATGCAACTGAATAGAGAATCCTGAATTACAGCAGCCCATAAAAGAACAAATAATGTTTGATCTATGTACTGAGACAATTTTGTAAGTAAAGACTTCTTAACAAAGGGCTCTGAAAACCTTGATATTTATATGGAATAAAGAGACTCTTAATTCTTATATCACTTTTTTGCAAAAATTAATTCATAATGAATTATGGCCCTAATGTAAACGCTGAAATTATAAAACCTTCAGTATAAAATAGAGAAAAAAATATTTTCGTGATTGTGAAGTAGACAAGTATTTTTTGACGAGATATAAGAACACTAACAATAAAATTAAAACAATAGTTTTGAACTTCTTCAAAATTAAATATTTCTGTTCATTAAAATATACATTAGAAAAATTACATATTGATGTCATATTATATGTACAAATAGATATAGAGAAAAATGCCATAAAATTATCTCTAGACATATATCAGACAAATAAGTCATAGTCAGAGTATACAAATATCTCCCACAAATCAATAACGTGAATAAAATAACATTCAATAATAATGGACATAAAATTTATATAGAAACTTCAAGATAATGTAGAAAAAGACAAGTAATCACAGCAAAATTGGATCAACATCTTTAGTTCTCAAAAAAATACAAGATAAAGTGAGACAGAAAGAAAATTTTAGTCACCAGAATAGCTAAAATAATGAGAAAAAAAATAAAACTATAATTACCAAATATTAGTGAAGATGTGGAACAACCAAACACATTATAACTTATGGGTGGTAGTGTAAAATGGTACAACCACTTTGTAAAACTGATATTTTATTATAAAGCAAAGCATGAACCTGCTATATTCCTCTGCAAGTCATATTGTAGACACTGCATTTATCTACAAACTAGAATCAAAACAAATATTTGTCCATCAATAATAGAATGTCATATTTATACAATGAAGTTAAATTCAGCAATAAAAGGTATAAACTACCAATACATAAAATAACATTGATGAATCTCAAAAACATTATGTTATAAAAGAAAGCAAACAAAAAGAAAAATGTACTTTTTGTATATAAAGTATAGTAAACACACAAAATTAAGCTATAAATACATAACCTGAAATGTGGCTGCTTCCTAAAAATACAGCATTGACTAGAAAACACCAGAATATTTTTCCGGTGTAATAGAATTAGTATATATTTTGTTTGGGGGTCGTGGTTACTCCGATGTATAAAAGGTCATAATTCAATCAACTGAATACATTAGATTATTGCTTTCTATTGTATATTAATTGTTCTTCAATGAGTAATGATACACAAAAAAATGAAGGCAAAGTTAACTACCAAGAGAGGCAATGAAGTGAAATGAAATAAGAAGGAAACTCTGGTTTTCAAATACAAAGATTAGATGGTCAAATTGTTATATCTTTCTGGATTCTAGTTTTCTTATCATAAATGGGAATGATAGTTCCAAAATTAACTGTATTGCTCTGAGGACTACATAAATAACATAATGAAGTGCTAGGCACATAGCAGATTCCCTACAAATTTAGTTATTCATTGTCCACTGTTAATCTCATATGTCTCAGTGAGTATAAAGTACATCCTAGAAGAACATACCTTTATTAAAAACAGTTTATAACGGAAGTACATTATGAAAACTCTAATTTTTTTCTTCTCTAGTTCACTTGGGAACTGAGAGAGTGCATTAACCAGGTGTTACTGAACCAGGTGTTTCTTTCCTCACTCCCCATCTTCCTTTTCTGACTCTGCTTCTCTTCCCATTTCTCCTCCCCAACCTCCTTCTTTTCCCTCTCATTCCACAAATAGCCACTTATTTTAAACTAACACTTTTATACATAAGTGAATATGTAAATAAATTCGTTTGCAATCAGATAGCACAAAGAATGCTGCCAATAATAGAAGAAGCAGAATTTGAATTAAGGAGAGAAATAAAGGGATTTTCACCTAAAGAAAACAAAATTCATTTAAATTAAGTAAGTAAATCGCTTATATCCTAAAAAATTCCTGGATGACTTTACTAGACTCCCCTCTCTATCCTAAACACAGAAAGAACATAGGGAGAAAAATTCTTGAAAAGCAGAGAAAGACATAATTTCTGCTTATCATACCTTATTTTTCTTTTTCTTTTTTTTTTTCTTTTTGACAGTCTCACTCTGTTGCCCAGGCTGGAGTACAATGACACAATCTCAGCTCACTGCAACCGTCACCTCCCGGGTTCAAGAAATTATCCTGCCTCAGCCTCCTGAGTATCTGCAATTACAGGCACTTGCCACCAC